AGACATAGCATTATGCACTTTAGAGACAGGAGCCAGAGTGACTGTGCTAAAAGCTAGATCAGGCCATGTGGTGCCTCTGCTCAGCCTGTACAATGACCCATGGGGCGCCCCTCAGTTTTGTTCCAGAAGCTTTTACTTGTCTGGCTCACTCCACAGAATGGAAGTTCCAGGAGGGCAGGGGCAGTTTAGACAAAGTTCACCACTTTTCCTAGCACAAAGGGCCTAAGCATTTGTTGAATTTAGCCCTCACAGCCAATCTGGGACTGTGATGGTATCATTCTTACTTTTAGGCGGGGAAATGGGGGTTCCAAGACAGTCCGTGGTTTGCTCAAGGTCACACAATTTCTAAGTGGTAGAGCCAGGTGTGATTCAGTCCTGCTGGATTCCAGAGCCTGGTGTCTAGACAACAAGTTCCCAGAAATGGGGGGCATCTGAGGAACAGGCCAGTCTGGGGAAGACGGAGAGCCCAGACAGAGGGGATGGGTCTTCTGGAGGGGAGGGTTTGGAGGCAAAGGCAGCTGTCATCTGCCAAGGCCTGCATGGAAGGGGCGGGTCCAGAGCTGAGAGGAGGGTCTCACCCAGCTGGACCTCTGTCTTGTGTCTCCACCACTCACACTGGGTTTCTTTCAGTTCCCTTTGGGGACTCAGCTCCCCCACCAGCCCACACACATACACATCCACAGAGCTTCTTCCGGAATCAGGCCTCTCACCACACCCTCAATCTGCTGTTTCAGCCAGGGGAAGTGGGGGCAGAGGCCGTCTCACCACTGGGAATGAGAGGCCTGGACACACATCCCTGCTGAGGCTCCTGGGGCCGTGGAGTCCAGGCCTCCCGTTCCCCGCGTGCCTGGCCTGATTGCGGGGGAACTGGCAGTGAGCACGTGGCAGTCAGGTATCGCCTCATATCCCTTTTACTTGTGATTCATCATAAGACAGCATCTGGAAGCAAGAGGACCCTTCAATTTTAGAAGCACCTGAGTGATGCTCTCTGTCCCCGCCCCTTCCTCCCTATGCCAAGTCTCTGACCCAGAGTGGTTCTTGGCTCAGGTTCCCGTGGTCCAGGGAATGCAGGACCCAAGCTAGTGGAGCCCCTGGGTAGCCCCTATCCCTGGAGCCTCACGCCAATGCTGCAAGCTAGGTAACACCACCTCCCTCTTTACTGCACAGAATGAGATTCACAGGACCTGCCTATGGCCACTGAGCTTGAACACAGCAGAGACGGATACAAGCTCAAGGGCAGTGCCCTTTCTTCTACACACAGTCCCCCACATGGTTCTTGACAAAGTTCAGAGACTTGAAGGGCAGGATGCCTCACCAGATCACAGAGGATAGGGGAGGGGGGCAGGATTTAGAATCCTAGTCTTGTGTTTTGTCAGACTGTGTGTGGGACATTTAACAATAAAAGAAGGCTCTTCTGAACTATTCCTCCACATAGATTTCCTAGTCCAATATAGAGCACTTTCTATTAAGCACAACTGACCTCCAGTGAAAAAGATTTGCATTTTGGGAGGAACCACTTTCAATTAAATCGCGGCTTCATTTTTAACGAAAGAAATACAAAGCAATCTCCCTATCATTTTCTGCATCCACACTTAATATTTTAAAAATTTAAAATAGTGAAATACTCAGCAAGTATAAATAATAAAATACATTTCTATTTTATATCAGGGCTTCAAGAGCAAGGGAGAGGGAGAGAGATGCAAGAGAGAAGAAAAAAGACAATACATAATGAGTAATGATACAGATTAGGGTAGACCAACCCAAGTACTCCTACAGGGATGGAGAGAGGAAGGTCAAAGTTCTGATTCATCAACTAACTAATACTGCTGTGTTTGTTCCAAATACAGGCACTGAGCTTTAAAGGGCAAATAGTACTCTAGAACTTACATGTTTTATTTTCTATCTAAAGTTTAATAACTTGACACAGAAGTTTCTTCATTTAAAAATATTTTTGTTAAAAATTACTATAGAAAACAAAGAATGAAAGACAGGAGTGGTCCTTGAGTAAGTTGATTCCAGTGGGAATCAGACGTTAAAATCTCAGTGAAAACCAGCGAGGACAAGCTTCCGAGCCCGGGAACCCGATCTAGGGAGGGAAGTCAAGGTAAACTTTCCAGAAGAGATGATGCTGAAACAAAATCTGAAGAGCAGGAGTTCCCAGGCGAAGAATGCTTCAGGAGAGGGAACTGGGTGTGTGAGAGTTGAGGTCGGATGTGTGAGAGCGAGGCTCACTCATGGAACCTTAAAAAGTTCAGAACGGCGGACGGATGGTCAAGGTAGCGGTGAGTGAAGAGATGGGACAGGCGACCAAGGCGCTGACCCTGAGAGGCTGGAAGGCGACCAGGGAGTGGGAGCTGGGGCAGACAGGTGCGAAGGTTAAGAATTAGAAAGGGACAGAGTAGCCTGAGGATCTCCGTATGCAGGCGCGTGGAGAAGGGGACGTTTGAGTCTGGGTGCCTGCGGCTTAGAGTTGACCGACCCTTGGAAGAGGCGCGGGCGAGAGGGGCAAGGGCCGGGGACTGTCTATCGGTTCGCCGCACCGCGCTCGTTCGTGGCTCACTTGACCGACAGTGTCTGCACAGATCTTGAGCTCCGAGAGAGACAAGCTGGGAAGCTCCCGGGCCCAGCCGAACACTGTAGCAGGGTAGGGTAGGGGGCTGGGATTGTCGAAGGACTATTTCGCGGTTCCACATTGCCGAAGAAGCCCAGTAGTCGGTCTAGGTCCTCGCGCTGGGCTGCAGGGGGTCTCAGCCTGGCCCGAGGCCCAGCCCAGTCCCTCGG